GGGAAAGAGGGGGACAGCCCGGGGAGGGGCCATATAAAATCCCCTCACTTGGGCAGGTTTCGGGAGGACTCCCCTGTCAACCGGACCCGGACCGAAGCCGGTCCGCGTCCTCTAGGGCCCTGGGTTGGGGCCCGGGAGTGAGGGTGGGCCCGGGCCCCCCCTCTCCTCCCTACCCTGCACCCCCACTCGGAGTAACTGAGAAAGGACGTATCCCCGGAAGGGGTAAAGCCCAGGCTGTGTGGGCACTGTCGGAGGGCAGTGACCTGAATCGAATAGTATCACCGTCAGCAGAGCGAATTCCCCAAAGTCGACGACGAGCGACGCTGTGGGGGCTGACGGAATCCCTACAAGATGGTGGAGGATGCGGGCGTTAACCGACTCCCTCCCCCGGAGTAAAAGGGGGAGCGCTATCCTCAGAGAGGGAAAACGCCCGTAGGGGCAGCGTTAGAGTAGATTCCCTAGAGAGTTTTTGGTTTAGATTTGTGGGGGGGCCTAATTTATTGTTTATGTAGTCACATTTGCAGTAGGCGGACCTTCCCCCCCCCTAGTTGGGAGTGAGGCAGACATTGCAGGCACCGGCAAGATGGAACTGGCCCAGATGCTGGAGTGGCTAACTCAGGCCCAGCGACAGAACCAGCAGCAACAGACTCTCTTGATACAACAGCTCTCAGCGCAGCACCAAGAGCAGCAGAGGCAACTGGTGAGGGAGTTATCAGAGCAGTTCCAGAGCCAGCAGGAACAGTGAGTGCGCCAGTACGGGACCATGCCGCGAATGGCGAGGACGACGGAGATGGCAGCCCATGGTTGACAGTCCGCCTGACCAAAATAGGACCTATGGATGACCCAGAGGCGTATCTAACCACTTTTGAGCGGGTGGCGACAGCAGCACGCTGGCTGGAAGACCATTGGGCCACGATCTTAGCCCCATACAGGCCCAGCTAGCCTACCGCAGCCTGAGCGCCCGGGAGTCTTTACATTATTATAAAGTAAAAGAAGCCATATTGGACCAGATGGGCATCACCCCGGAGACATATCGGCAAAAGTTCAGGCAGGAACGCTACACCACTGGGACGAGACCTCGGGTGGTGGCATAAAGATTGAAGGAAACAGGGTGGCACTGGCTCGATCCCGACCAACGCACCGGGGTACAAGTTGCCGAGATGGTGGTGCTCGAACAATTTCTAAATATCCTCCCCAGTGGAGGGCAGCGCTGGGTGGTCGACGAGGCGGTCGACCTGATGAACAACTATGAAGCTGCAGAGACGGCAGAAGGAACGAGTAGACCAGGTAGGACCAAACCCCCCCCGGCCCTAGTGACCAAAGGGGAGCCCTGAGAGGGACCGAAGCCGAGTAGGAGGTCGAGGGGAGGGAAGGTTAGCCCCGGCATGGACAATGCCATTGAAGGGCACTCCGCAAGAAAAGCCGCCCACCCTAGGTGAAGGCGGAAAGGCTCTGAGTAAACAGGGACCGTCTAGAGGGGGCCTGTTATAGGTGCGGGCAGGAAGGCCATTTTCAAAAGGACTGCCCGTACATGGACTGCACCTATGCGCAGGCCCTGACGGGAGAGAGGGACCTCAACAAGGGGAAAGGAGGCCAAATCCTGAGACAGGTCCAGATTGGGGACCACCGAGTGCTAGCCCTTGTAGACTCCGGCTGTAGCCAAACTATATTAAGGGCAGAGCTGGTCGAAGAGGGAGGCCCGAGGGGGCCGCCCGTATGAGTGCAGTGCATACATGGGGACGTGCACCAATACACCACCACCTGGGTCCAAATAACTGACGACGACCAAGTGAGTTGGTGTTATGTGTTGGTAGCCCCGAGATTGGTATATTCCGTTCTACTGGGGCGAGATTGGAGTGGCTTTCGGAGGGCCATGGGTGAATGGCAACACCAAGGTACTCTTCCGACCCGGGAAGGGTTGCTTGGGGGACCGGGCAAGCAGGCCGAGCGGCCAGACAGCATCCTTACAAATACGGACAGAAACCCGGGAACCAACCCCCCACAGGGG